CAAGATAGCTGAAATTAATTACCAGAATAAATCCCAGAATAACCAAGCTTGAAGAAACATGTTATGCCATCAGTAATATATCATTATGATTCATTCTATGGTTGTCATTTTTATCCTTTAATAGGATCTGTGGGAATGGCAACCCTCCCATCTCCCTAAGCAAGTGCTGGAGGGAAGTGCTATAATGGGAACTTGTTAAGATGTGAATTGCACAACAGCCTTGCCAACGAAAAACACGAAACTGCGAAGGAAGATAGTATTACTAGCCAACATCTTCTCCCAGCAGTACATCAGTTCATGTCATGATGCTGCAGTCATGAATCAGATATAGAAAAATACTATAGCCCATATGGAAATGATGCGGAAACCCAATAACTAGCAAGGTAGTATCTTAACTCCCCTATTTTGCTTTCACCAATGGGTTTGAATAGCCAAACAGACAAAATGAAGAGGGGAAAATCCTCTAGTTAGGACCCATTAGTGAAACAGAATAAATTGCATCATGAATAAAATAGTATAAGGTGGTTCTTTTTCAGAAGGCTATAATGATTCTAGAGTTAAATGACACAAATAACTGGGGATTTGCAATAAAAGCCCCTTTTGTTCAAGTTGCCAAAAGATTTAGGAGCTTTTAGAATGCACTGGGGGAACTGGTCAGACTAGGCAGGCTTGCTGAATAGAATTATTATGGAGTCATTGTTAAATGGCAGAGACTAAAAAATTTAAGACTTAGCCATAAAAAATTTTCTTTTGAATGGCTCCTTTCTTGCAAATTTGGTTGTTTGAATAGAAATGTCCTTGCTGAGAAAAATACAAATGTAACTGCTCAGAAAAGAATGGCAGGAAGTGTTAGAAGTAATCACTTTCTTAGAACACTGAAAAGAGGTGGGGGTAAGACACAAAAACAAATATACAATTATGCAAACTGTCTAGATTGGAAAAATTATTAAAGTCAACAAAACAACTCTTATGATTTATGGAATAAATGTTTGCATTTTCAATTTTTTAAGATTGGATTTGTCCAAAGCACAAAAGGTCAGCAGTTTAACATTTAAGTTTTATAATTTCAGTGTTCCCATTTTTTTTCAAAGATTTATTTTATTTATGCATACAAGAACCAGTATACAGGTGAGAAGTGCAGTGGGGGGAGGTGAGAGGATTCACCAGAGACAGAGTAGGGAACAGGACAGGTGGATCTACTGAAATACACTGCTGGGGGGAGCAGTGGGTGAGACAGGAGAGGTCTGCCGCACCCGGAGGGGGTGGAGTGTGTGTGTAACTCGTGCTGCAATGGCTGTGGACTGGCTGTGGATGGCTGCCTAGTGCTGCACTTTAACCCCCTTTGCCACCAGGGAAGCCCATTCCCATTAATTTCAAATTCAAATTTAGTCTGGAGGCATACAAGAAGTCTTACAAATGCTATGGGTTGTTTGAGTTACTTTGTGTAAATTCCAAACTTTACTATTTTAAAGCAATTAATTGCTCTGGCTCAGTGGATCTCAGACCTGGCTGCACAACAGGATGCCCTGGAGAGCCAAGCTCCACCCTAAGTCAATGAATTAGCTTCTAGAGGTGTGGCCCAGTCAGGTGTACTTTTTAAGAGCTGCCAAAGTGATTGTTCCATAAATCCAGGACAGAGAATCATTACACTTCTAGTTTTAGAATCATGTCATATAATGACAACATTTATATTTTTTTCTAAATCCAAAAGTAGTTCCTGCACAATACAGACAGCTGGGAAAAGTATAGCAAAAAAAAAAAACTATTTAAAAAACCCAAAATTCCATTACTCCTTTATGTGTTTATCATTTGAGTTTTTTCCCTATGAAGATGAAAAAAGGTTTTATAAAAAATATAAACTGAGAAGGTACCCTCGGAAGTCATGTAGACTATGTTCCATATTTTACAGCGAAATAAGGCCAAAAGAGTTCCAACTCAGTGACTCCAATAGTTCATTTGGAGTCAGGATTACAATCTAGGTCCACTTTCATTTTCTTGTAAAACAATTTTTTGTGTGTGTAAACTTGAATCTTCAAAACATTAATTTGAAAAAGAATATTTTCAAGTTCCATTTTCATTTTAAAGGATTATTATTTCTAAGGATATTCTAATAATATAAAGAAAATCAAGGTGAGCTTTATAGGTAATACCTATATTCATGTGACTCTTTATTTTAATATTTGCTTTACTGTGATAGCAATGGTAATGAACACAAGATGCTTCCTAAGTATGCCTGTTAACACAAGGACACCTAGAATAAAGAAATAAATTACCTGGAATATTCTATTGAAGTCAAGGCAATTTTGATATGAATTATAATTTTTTTTATTTTAAGATTTATTAATTTATGCATACAGAACTGGGGTACAGGCCAGAGGCACAGGGGCGGTGCGAGGATTCACCAGAGACAGAGTGGGGAGCAAAACAGGTAGATCAAGGAAGTACACTGCTGAGGGGAGCAGCAGGCGGGTCAGGAGAGGTCTGTCACACCATGTGGATCACCTCAGGGCGGGGAATCGAACTAGCACTGAAGTGGCTCCGGCCAGCTTGCAGTGCTGCATCCTAACCCATTGCGCCACCAGGGAGGGCCCTAAAGTTTTTTTTTTTTTAAAGATTTACTTATTTATGCAGAATGGAATTGGGTATAGGCCAGAGGTGAATGGGCAGAGAGAGGATTCACCAGAGACAGAGCAGGATGCAGAATAGGCAGATTGATGAAGTACACTGCTGAGGGGAACAGCCAGAGAGACAGGAGAGGTCTGCTGTGCCATGTGAGTCAACTGCAGGGCCTGGGATAGAACTTCTGCTGAAGTGGCTGCAGCTAGCTTCACAGTGCTATGCTTTAACCCACTGCACCACCAAGAAGGGCCCAGAGATTTAAAGTTTTGATAGTAAGTAGGGTGTACTTCACTAATTAAGCTTTTTCTTACATCGTTGTAGTCCCCATAGTTCTCCTGCCACTGCCACATTATCACTCCAAGACCCACATTCCCTTATGTTCATCCCTCCCCTGTTTTACACCCCACTCCCACCCCATCATTTGCTGTATTCCTCAAATCTATGGTTAGCTTGCTAGTTTTGACTTTTCATTGACCTTTTGGTTTCTTGATATTTCACATATAAGTGAGACCATCTGGTATTTATCTTTTCCTTCTAATTTTGGCTAACATAATCAGTAGGAAGTACTTTAAAAGAGAAGGAATACATGATTCAAGTAACTGAGGTTTTCAAACTGTGTCTTTAAATTTATTAAAGCATAAGAAAAACTTAGACAAAATTTCATGAAAACTGAATATATAGCACTTTAAGTATTCCCTTCCAATTTTTACATATTATATAAATATAACTCTAGCATATTCACAGTATTGTACTATATTTACTTTCAATCAATATACTCATTCACTAAACATTCATTCAATACTTTACATGTGCAAGGCAATTATAGAATTATAGAATCAAAGATATTAATATATAGCTTCTCCCCTTAAGGATGTTAAAATGAGATCAGTGCTCCAGAGAGAGCAGAAAGCAAGAAAACAAGTTACAAGTTGGGTCTTCCTACATGACATAGACAAACATTTTAGGATAGATTGGTAGAGGAAAAGCTTTATTTGTTGCAGACTTGTTCAAATTATCTTCTAGGAAAACACTTAATATTTTATTCTAAAGATTTATTTATTTATGCACACAGGAACTGGGGAGGAGGGCAGAGTTGAGGGGTGGGGTGGTGAGAGGATTTGCCAGAAACAGTGGGAAACAGAACAGGCGGACTGACTGAAATACACTGCAGAGGGGATAAGCGATACAGACAGAAGAGGTCTGCCGTGCCAAGTGGGTCAGCTCCCTGGCAAATGGGGGATCAACTTGTGCTTCTGACAGCCTGATAGCTATGTCTTTAACCCCTGCGCCATCAGTGAGGCCCCAAACACATAATATTTTTAAAATCAGAAACAAATGGAGGGATCCAAACTGTAGTTGGCCAAAGAGGTCCTTTTCAGCCTTACCTCCAATCACACTCTCGCAGCAATTTCCTTCCTTTTCTTGCTACCCTCCCAACCTTCCAGTAACCTGAAGTAAAAATAATACATTAGCAGTTTCAAACTGGCAAATTAAAACATTTATAAAGCTGGTGGAATGTAAATGTGTGCAGTTTTCCTAGCAGGCATTTAAAATGAAAAGTCCTTAACAGTGTGCTTGCTCTTTGGTCCAGCAATTGCACTTTGAGGAATTTAACTTACGTAAGAACGTACAAGGCTGTTCACAGAAACCTTGGTTATAAAAGGGGTGAAAAACAAGGAACAACTTAAATATCCAACAATAGGTTAAATTATGACCTAGATTTATGACTTAATACAAAAGCCAATCATACAGAATAATGTAATAACATTTAAAAATCTTAAGTGTGGCGGGCACACCATTTAACTCCGAAACAAGCATCGAAATAGGTAGTTTATCCAACTTTTAGCAGTGAGGTTGAAATATAAAGGACATAACTCGCCTAAATTCACGATTACAAACTAAGGAGGCAGGGTTTCAAAAGGAATTCACCTAAATCTCGAACCCACATCTGTTTCACACACACGATGTGAACCAGGCTAAAACTATTCACCTCTCAGTGTTACTGACAAACAATAAGCACGCACAAAGTTTCTGGAACGTGGTGGATCTATATAACTCGCTTAAGATCGATCACACAAGCCGTGAAGCCAGAATTTATATGGAGTTGTAAGCTGGAGCTCGGGAAAGCTAACGGGAGCTCAAAAAGCCGTTCCGGACTTTGATGAACTCCTAACGCAGAGAACAAACTTGCCCTCTGTTCCGTAAACCCCACCTCAGAGGTGACGGTGCACACACTTCTTCAGAAAGGAGGCGAATTTCTAAATTCTACCCGCTGCTCTTCCCTGCTCTTTCAGCTCCAAGCACTCTTCCATCCACCGCCGCCCTACTTCCTACTTCCGCGGGGGGAGTGACGTCATCCTCGCGAGCCGGAAGTGTGTTTGCAGAGTGAGTCACATTTAACCACCGGTCAGCTGGAGGCCGGGCAAGTATTGATCTTCCGAGGCTTCGCAGTTTAGGGAGGCGAAGTTATCATGACGGCTCAGGGGAGCCTAGTGGCCAACCGAGGCCGGCGCTTCAAGTGGGCCATTGAGCTGAGCGGGCCTGGAGGCGGCAGCAGGTGAGGAACCTGGGCGGGGCTTGATATTAGAACCTTTACCCCAGACCTGCCCCCGAGGGAAAGCACCTGAACTCTGGCACAGATAACTTAAAAGGATGGGTGCACAAAGACGACTCCTAGGGAGCTAGCGACTGTTCTCCTTCGGAGGATCTTTGTCAAAATGTCCGTATTTCAGTTCACCCACTAGGCGAGGGTCTGATGAAGCCGGGAGAGGGCTTTGTCTGATTTGGTTAGGTGTATCTGAGGATCTTTATTTCGTTGATTAGAACAAGATATGTGGGATATTAAGTGTGGGAGGCTGCAACCTTGGTTTCTTCCCTGGTTTGATTCTTTAGGGGCCGAAGTGACCGGGGAGGCGGCCAGGGAGACTCACTGTACCCAGTCGGTTACTTGGACAAGCAAGTGCCAGATACGAGTGTACAAGAAACAGACCGGATCCTGGTGGAGAAGGTATAGAGGTATAGCTGTCACTGTAATCCCTGAACCAGCCCTCATCTACACACCTGCACTGCTCTCCCAGACACCATATGAATTATCTTGGTGTGAATGGCCCTTATCCCATATATTTGATAACTAAACTGCTTGAGATTAATATTACAGTAATTTATACTTCAGTTCCAAGAGTGTTTAAAAATTGGAAAAATAAAAGGTTTGAAACAGAAGGTCCAAAAAATAGGTTAAAAATCAACTATTGATGGCAATATTTAAGTCACCCTGTTCCAGTCTGTTTCCGTACACCACACAATTGTTCAGTATATTTATTGGCTTTACCTTTTAAAAGATTCAAACTATTACCACTTCTTATTACCTTCACTTGACATCCTAGTCTAAGTCATTGTCATCCTTCACCCAAATTTCTGAATAATTTTTTTAAAAAGTCAGTTATTTTGAGACATGGTTTATGTACGAGAAACTGCATTCATTTAAATTGTGGCTTTACAACTTCAGCATTATTGTCATCAGGGCTGAATAATTCTTTGTTATGGGGCTGTAAATGCATTTTATAATTCTAATAATCCCTGGCCTCCACACATTAAAGGGCAAAAGTGTCTTTCCCCAGGTGTAACGACCAAAAATGTTACTAACATTGCTGTCTTCAAAGAGGATAATTGCCCTTCATCAAGGATAGCTTTTTTTAAAAGTACAATCTACTATGGTGATGGCACAAGGGTGATTTGATGATGGGAAGCCCACAGGGTTTACAACTGAAATGGAAAAAGGAACAAAATGATGTAAAAATAAACTATTATTTTTAAAAAGTACAATTTGATGAGCTTTGACATTGGTGAAGACTCATAAAAGTACCACGATCAACTGGGAGAATATTTCATTCAACCCTAAAAAAGTTGTGTTCTTCACTTTAGTAACTTCTGTTTGCTATTCCACTTTGCACCTTTTAGTTTATTCCCAGCACAGCAGCCAGAATGATCCTTTTGTAAGTCAGATCATTTCTATTCAGAATCTCTCTCTGTACCTCCCCATTTCATTTTAGTGTAGTTTTTATTCTACATTATTTTATATTAAGCTTAAGTCTTTGTTCTACATTACTCTGCACTGACAGAGCCTTTTGTGTCATTTTATCTCCTACCTCTTTCCCCTTTGTTCATCTACTGTAATTAGAATGACTGAGCTGCTCCTTAAATTTGCCAGGCAAGCTCCCATCTCAAGCTTTTTTTTTTTTTTTTTAAGATTTATTTATGCATACAGGAACTGGGGTGTAGGCCAGAGGTACAGGGGTGAGAGGATTCATCAGAGAGAGAGAGGGGAGCAGAAAAGGCAGATTGACTGATACATACTGCTGAGGGAAACAGCCGGGAAGACTGGAAAGGTCTGCTGCACCATGTGGGTCACCTCCCTGGCTGGGGATTGAACTGGGGTGCAGTGGCTGGGATAGCTTGATAGCACTGAGACTAACCCCTGTGCGACTAGGGAGGCCCTATTGCCAATTTCTTTTTCTTTTTTTGTTTTTTTAAATATAAGTTTGTTTTTACATCATTTTGTACATTTTTTTTTCATCTTAATTGTAATCCCCATGGGTTTCCCATCACCGAGCCACCTGTGTGCCATCACCATATAGTCCTTTGCACTTCCCCACACCCCTACCCCCCATTTTTGATCCCATTCCCCACTCCACCCCTACAAAATGTTTCTGATATATGGCTGTTTGTTATTCTTATTATTTTCTCATCTGGTTCATTATACTCCTGCTATGAGCGAAACCATCCAGTATTTTTCTTTCTCTTTCTGTTTGCCAATTTCTTCCCCCCCCCCAAAGATTTATTTATTTGTGCATAAAGAACTGGGGTACAGGCCAGAGGTGCAGGGGCGGTGAGAAGATTCACCAGAGACAGAATGGGGAGCAGAACAGGCTGCTGAGGGGAGCAGCAGGCGGGTCAGGAGAGGTCTGCTGCGCCATGTGGATCACCTCGGGGCAGGTGGGGATCCAACTCATGCGGAAGTGGCGTTAGCTTCTTTAACCCGCTGCGCCACTAGGGAGAGCCTGCCAATTTCTTAATATTATTATTTGTCTTAGTATGTCAAAGTATAATATGTATTATTAAAATGGCCTGATTTCAAAGGTACTGCTCTAGAACAATTTTCTTGTATGGATAATTTAATATTTAAATTCTCAGGTAAAATGATCTTTTAAGTAAATGACATAATAGGAAACTGTTTACAAATATGACTGTTTATTCTTTTAATGTGAGTGAAGTATACAGATAGTAGTATATTATTCTTTTTATATAGCTAGATTTATTTAGTTGCTATCTTGTTTAGGTTTATGAGTGATACATTAGTCTATACACATTTCTTATAATGTTCTTGTCAGATTTTGTTATTTATGAGGACCCAAGTTGAGAGTAATTTTGAGTTTGTCTAAGTATTTTTGGTTAAATGTTTAGCATTTACCAAGGGAACCCATTTCAGCTTAATTACAGGTTCAGTTTCTTAAACAGGATATTTCCACTTTCTTATGCCATGTAGGAATTTATCCTTAGAATTCATAATGTGATCACTCATTATCAGCAAGGCCTATAGAGAAGTATCTTTCATTTCTGATGTTGAATATTTAGCTCCTTTCCTTTTTTTCATTAGGCTTACTTGATTAATTTTATTACTCTTCTCCAAAATCAGTCTTTGATTTTGTTGAGATAAAGACAACTTCCTTCTCTTTCCTTGAGTTTATTCTTTTTTTTTAACTTCTTGAAGGATATGTTTTTATTTTTCTGTATATATTTAAGGTTATAAATTTCTCAAAATGCTTGTGTCCCGTGTTAGTCATGTGCTAGTTTGTTATTATTTCAATTAATTCATGGATTATTCAGAGTACATTTCAACATGTACTCTTTTTGTTATTCATTTCTAACTTGATTGCCTTGTAAATAAAGAACATGCTTTGTGTGGTTTGAGTTCTTTTGAGAGTTACTGACACTTTCTCCATGGCTCAAGCAAGTGGTCAGTTTTGGTAAATGCCTCAGATGTTATGTGAATTCTGTAGCTGTTGGGTGCACTGTTCTGTATGTGTTAGTTGGATTGTTTATGTCATTAAGATCTTCTGTGTTTTGTCTATTTGATCTATTATTGATTCATGTATGCTAATCTCTCACTACATGAATTTATCTGTTACTTACAGTGTAGATGGGACAATGAACAATGCAAAAAGTACAAGGACAAAATCAGGGAAAACTTTTAAGCAGAATCATGGGGAGAAATTACATTTAGAAAATGTAAACAGATGGTGAGGCTACCTTATCTTTACTGAGTTTTCAGTAGTAACACAGAGGGCAGAAGTGGAATTGAGGAGACGCACAGTCAGAATCATAGAATTGGGATTTGATTTTTTCATCAGTGATATAATAAATGTGGGATTCAGGGTGATGATCAGTGATTAACATTGTGTGTTTGTTTTAGCGCTGCTGGGACATCGCCTTGGGTCCTCTCAAACAGATTCCTATGAACCTCTTCATCATGTATATGGCAGGCAATACTATTTCCATCTTCCCTACGATGATGGTGTGTATGATGGCATGGCGGCCCATCCAGGCACTTATGGCCATTTCAGCCAGTAAGTGGTCTTGAAGTAGTAACCCCTGAGTTCTAAAAATTTAGGCAAATTTTTAGGCAAAACCCTAAGTTTGGAAATCTTTGGCACAGCTATTGGCTAGTTGTAGGGGGATGGTGTGAAGGGTGATGATGGTAATGGTGGCAGAGGGGGATAACGTTTATTATGGTTTTCCCCTTTTTTGGCCCTGTTATCTTACCATGGGTCTGTGACTATTACATTTTTTTTTAACAGATTTATATTAAAAAAGAACTTACTTTGGTTCTGATACACTTTTTGTTATCCCAACAGCTTTTAAGATGCTAGAAAGTTCAAGCCAAAAGTTTCTTCAGGGTTTGGTGTATCTCATTGGAAACCTCATGGGTTTGGCATTGGCCGTTTATAAGTGCCAGTCTATGGGACTATTGCCTACACATGCATCAGATTGGTTAGCCTTCATTGAGCCCCCTGAGGTAAGTCTAACCAGTTGTACTGTACAACAAACAGGTGATCTATCCATTTGATGGTGAGGGCGGGGGGGTTACAGTTGATCTTAGAACATTTTTTAAATTTATTTTTCACAGAACTGGGATGCAGGCCACAGGTGCTGGGGGTGGGGTGGGGGAGGGTGAGAGGATTCACCAGAGACACGGTGGGGAGCAGAACAGGTGGATCTACTGAAATACACTGCTGAAGGGAGCAGTGGGTGAGACAGGAGAGGTCTGCTGCACCATGTGGGTCAGCTCCCTGGCAGGGGATTGAACTCAGGTGGCCACAGTGGGCCTTGGCAGTAATAGTGCCACGACTTAATCCTTAGGCCAACAGGTCAGCCTGTTATTCTTAAGAAATAAGATCTATGAGGAGTTTGGAAGTTGGTTTTCTTAAAGGATCAAATAAAATAGAGCTTGTGATTAAAGTATTCAATAATTGATTCTGGAAATTATTCATTCACCACTTACCTATTTTTTATTTCAGAGGATGGAGTTCAGTGGAGGAGGATTGCTTTTATGAAACTAAGAAGCACTGGTTATCTGTCTGTCTGGCTCTCATTTACAGCCTCCCTTATATCAGCCGCTCCTCCTCACACACTTTCATCATCACGCATGCTGGAAAAGACCCAAAAGCGCTTTTTCTCTATAATGAGGAGACAAATCCTCAAAAGACAATGTACATGTCACTGCAGACACAAACTATATCACAACCCTTGACTGAAAATAATGTAGAAAACTTTATTTATAATGTTTCCAGAGAAAAACAACAAATAAAACCATAACTATGTAAACAAAAGAATGATTGCTGCAAAATGAAGAACCACAGCAGCATCTCCTTTCAATAAATTATATGGTTGAGAACAATGCTTGAAAAAAGTTGTACAAGTTTCCTTAAAATCTATTTTCCTTAATATTTTACTTCTATTTAACACAAGCTGGGACATAAAAATTCTGTAGAGACACCTGTGGAAGATATGAAAAACTAATGCTGGACTCAATTATACATGATGAAGAAAATAAACCACACAAAAAGAGCACATAAATATGCTTACAGTGTAATCGCTACTTTAATATTCACAAGAATGGGTTTTTAACACGGTTGGGAGAATGAGGATTGCAGGATGGCTGGGGACATAGGACACAGAGGAAATGGAAGGTACAGAGTCATCATCTCCCCCTGCTTAGAGGAACTTGGCACCTGGCAAACAGATGCCACAACCCTAACTTCAGCTTTTAAGACAGCTATCAAAGGCAGCGGGCCAGCAGCTGGAGAATGAATATTAGCATAACCTGCCCCAGAAAAGTCATAGCTAAAATAAAAGCTGGATTTTATTCAAAAGGCAGGAGGAGGTCTTTCCTTTCCTTCTTGAAACCCAAAGCCCCTTCCCCTAAGGTGCGTTTTCTCTCAAGTTTTCAGTATTGCTTTATTTGCAGTGATTGAAAGAGACAAGACAGTTTATTGACAAACAATATGAGCAACACATAGATATGAAATGCTCGAGACAGAGATGAATTTAAATCTGGCCTAATAAACATTTCCCCATGTAACAGTGATTTTTGTCTTTTAGGGGCTAAAGCAGTGGCTATGCAACAGCCATTAATTCCCTTTTGTCCTTATAAGATTCTTAGAGCTCCGTCCACAAAATGTTCTTCTAATGTTAACCTTATTTCCTGCCCATAATTCCTCTATATGGAAAATATACATCACTTTGGCCAGAGTGTGTGTAAATTTAAAGGAATTTCTGTGTGTGCTGACCTTTAGCGGGTAGATCTTAAATATCTTGGGTCATACAGGATCAGTCCCACTATTAGCTGGACTCAACTAAGCAATGGAGTGTTGTAATGGACACTAAACAATGCTTCTGCCCTCTGCAGTAAGGGACAGGTAAACAAGAGTCTATGTGCTTTGCTATCCAGACTGGGTCTGCAGATGATTAAAATAGCAAAGGGAACAAATCAAAATGACTCAATTTCTTAAGCCATATTGAAGGGTATTTTCTGTCTATAGGGTCAAACGAATAGTCTGCGATACCTAGAGGTCAGCTTCTCCATACCCTGCTGGATGATCAAAAAACAAGAGGCTCTAGCATTGATAAAGTGAGATTCAAAAGCAGCCATAAGTACAGGCAAGACAGTTGCTCTAAATAACTATCATGAAAAAGAAATGAAGATTTCTCACATAAGAAACTACCACTCAGCACATATTAGTTTCCCAATACTTGAAAGCCAGGTGTTTTGTGACCATTAAATTAGCAAATAAAAAGTTATGCTTGCACAAGTATATCCACGGCACATTCAGAGCTTTCTGAAAACAAAAATGAAATAGCTAGAGAGTGTGGGCTTGGACAATCTCAGTTTAGAGCCATGTTTCTGCAATCAGAATGAAGAATAAAGTTGAGCAAAAAAGAAAAGAGCTCATACCCTGGGCATCTAGCTTGGTGCCTCATGTTTTCAGTATGGCTTTGGAAATGAGTCTTTTAATAAAGAATAGTCTCCTGAATCAGGACAATGCCAATCGTTTGCCACTTTAGTGAAGTAGCTAAGGAGAGCAGCAGCAGCTCAAAAACTTTGGCACTGTGGAAGGAGTATGGCTCTAGAACTTCAATTCCATTGCTGAGTTCCCTAACGGCAGCCCAGAGCTCCTGGAGAAGAATTTTAGTCAGTCTCCCTATTGTTTGGTGACTTCTGACCTGTGTCTGCTAACCCAGAGGGCATTTAAAAAAAAAAAAAGGAGGACTGCAGAACCTATCAATGTGTAGCATCTGTATTTCTTAGATAAGAGCTTGTATGTTCTGCTCATGTAACATAAGACTGTATTTTAATAAATCTTAAGAGTTTGCCATTTGAAAAGAACCTAAAAGGAATAATTTTTACTCCGACTTAAACATACAATTTCCATGGTTAACACTGCCTCTATTACAATCTTAATCACAGCCTGGGCTTCGAGAAACAGCTGAAATATACACCAACACAGTTATATATACTTAACCTGGTATTCTGCAGCCATGTTTCACTTTTGTTCTTAGTACCCTAATATAAAGTCAGAGTCCTGGAAAGCAGAGTATACTCTAAAGAAAATTAGCTATAAAAGGTTTGCATCTTGGCTTTCAAAAGGTTAACTCCATCAGGAGGTTAGATCTTCGTACTTGGCTATGAATTCTTTAATATAAGGCTGTGTCTCTGGCTATTACTCCCACGGTGTCACAGGACCATAATGTTGTGTCATTGAGACTCATCTTCAATGTCTGATCTGTACTTGCTTTTTTTCTCCAGTTGAATTCTCTAGCACCCCTTTTGCCAATTCATTTTATTGGTCTAACATATTAATTCTATCTTCAACCAGTTCAGACATGGCTTTTAGGACTTGACCATTGTTCTGATGTTGAGGGCGTATTTGTTACTTTTGTAGACAGAAGATCATATGGGACAAAGAGCAAACAGACCTATTTGTACTTTCTTGCACAAGTATTTGAGGCTCATCTTATCAAAAGTTCAGAGTGATGTGTATAGAACACAGGCCTCTAGTTGATGGGTGTGGTAGTAAAGAGCTGGCACTTCCATGGATGATGGAAGCCTTTTAGGGAAGGTGAGGCCAAGCAGTCTTTCAGGAGTAGATTAGGAATAAATGGTGATAACTTCACTGCCACCACCTCTAACTAGAAGGACGCGCTCCAGTCCCTCGGTGAGCACTTCTAAGAATTCCATATCTTCAAAAATTTGTCAAGGAGACAAGCAGAAGAGCACACTTTACAACCTGGTGTGATAATGCAAGTTAATCTGATTACGGACTTTGTTTTAACTGTTACATACTCAGAACTGGACAAGTCTCAACACTGGATTTAATTTAACTCTGAAGGAATCTGAAGAGCTAGTCCCTTTACATATAGGAAAACCTTTCCCATCTGGTAGGTCTTTTTCTAAACTTAAATGAGGAAAACCTGCAAGTAATGTGTCATTACTACCTAGTAAAACAATCCCCAGAACTTAAAAAACAAAAAAGGAATAAAGCTACAACAGGCAGTTTGTAAAATTCCCAGAGAGGACTCAAGTAATTTTTAAATGAAATTGTTTAAAGTCAGATTTTGGGGGGAGTTTTTTTGTTGTTTTTTACCTTTTTTTGGTGGGAATAATTCTGGTGGCAATGGACTAGCCAATACACCAGTGCTAAAAAACAATCATGGGATCAGGGAATAAGGAAGCATTTTTTTTTTCCCCCTCAAAGGAGGTATATCTTCAACTACCTCTTCCCTAACTCTGATTCAAAAGCAATAGCAAAGTGGGTAGAGAAATGATGTGGTTATTCTGTCTCCAGGATTGTCAGAAAGAGTTCCATATACTGAATACTAGAAGTCAAATTATAAATATGCCACCTAAAAAAATCACTTTACAGCTTCCTGAGGATATATTATACTTCCAACAAGGAAGGAAGTTGGTTAATCTCATTACTGTGTAAGAACCCTTGCGTAAGACTTTTAAGGCTTCCTTCTGCAAAATAAAAAGTGGGGGCATCAACAGTGAGTTTTATGCTAACCTAACGGTCTCATCTAACAGGCTAAGAAGATTTGCCCTGCTATGTAATTTTGTTCTGGGAAAGGATACAGTTTTCATCACCTTCAGGGTTACGGGGTGGTCCTGGCATATTCAACAAAACCAGCTTGGCTTCATGGGACTTGTTAACTATAACTTCATTGAGCTTCACTGCTGTATGCATCCGCCTCACGTTGGACTGGTCCCTGGGTGGGGGAGAAATAGAGGAAGGCAGCTGAGGCAGAAAGACAACTGGGCATTTAGTCAACCTTTAAGAATTTAAGGGTTTTTTCCCTTTGGTTATGAATAATGTAATGAACAGATGATTTACTTATAATATTACTGTCCTGGATTTTCTCATTCTATGTCTCATTCTTTGTTCTCATTTCACACTAAAATACAGTATGGAGAGAAAGAAGGATAAATAGCTCCCTTTCCATGTCAGTTGGTAGCTGAGACGTATAAGCAAATAATAGAGATGGCTGGACTTGAGATGAAATGAAAACCAGACTCTACTCTGTTCATTCATGCAAAGTAGGATCAGTGGCACTGGCCAGGATATTCTAAGTTTGAGAGTTGGGAAACTTACGGACGCATGTTAAGCAGGTCCTGGAATCCTTCCATTGACTTGGCCTTTTGCCCCCGAGAAGCCATGTACTTGTCTTTTGTCCAAGTCATGTGCACCTTCTCATGATAGGTTTCTGTTTCTTCATCCTCATCGGAGCCAATACTGGTCAGTCGCAGCATTGAGTTCCGGTCTTTCACCAGCTGTGCCTGAGGAAGGACCAACACAGCTATGATTTTGAAAACAATGTGGTTACAGGGGAATATCTGATAAAGTGAGAATCTAATACTGTGTTAACAGGTAGTGCCTCCCCCCCCCCCCACTTCAGTTGACAGACCACAGAGACTCGGGGTTATATAATGCAGCAGGTCTCACCTCTCTGTCCCGCTCTGTTTTGGAGAGTCGCATGTGCCGGAGCATCTGGGACCTCTGCTCCATCATCAGGGTACGCTCATATGTGTAAGCTGATATATCACTGTCATGCTGTCAGTCACAGGTGTCATATAGAGTGGGCAACAACACAAAGGACAGAGAAGGATGAACCACAGAACTTTCACTTCTACTTACTAAACTAAAGCAGAGAAAATAGAAATATCAAAGATTTGCACTGGTTTTGTTGAGTCATGAATCTACATAAACTCATTAAAGTGGATTATAGATTAAGTCTAGAAGTCCTGAGAGTATTTTTTATAATCAAAACATTATATACTTATGTTTCTTTTAGGTAAAAAATATTTTTTATACTGCTAAGTCATTTTATTTTATTTTTAAAGGGGTACAGGGGCAGTGAGAGGCTTCACCAGAGACAGAGTGGGCAGCAGAACAGGCAGATCGATGAAGTACACTGCTGAGGGGAGCAGAGGGCAGGACAGGAGAGGTCTGCCACGCCATATGGGTCAGATCCCTGGCTGTGAATCAAACTCTTGCTGAAGTGGCTGCAGCTAGCTTCTTAGTTCTACATTTCAACCCATTGTAATACCAGGGAGGGCTCCGCTAGGTTATTTTAAAATAAGTTATGGGTTTATTAGGACTATATGAACTGAAAATTATATTAAGTAGATAAGAATCTGAAAGAAGTACAAGGTTGTGTTAACAAACACAAAGAGTTAAAATGTTCATTAAAAAGTATTAGATACTGCAAGGGTGACTTGGTGATGGGAAAGCCGCGGGAATTACAATTGAGATGGAAAAGAAAAAAAATGTACAAAATGATGTAAAAATAAACTGTTGTAAAATAAAAAGTTAAAAAATAAAAATAAAAAAGTATGAGATACTGTACTACAAAGCCATAATAATCAAAACTGCATGATACTAGAACAAGAATAGACATACAGACCAGTGGATTCGAATAGAAAACCCAGATATAAACCCACAAATTTATGGACACTTAATTTTTGACAAAACAGCAAAGAAGATACAATGGAACAAAGAAAGTCTGTTCAGCAAATGGTGCTGGGAAAACTGGGAAGCTACATGCAAAAAAATGAAACTAGATCACTCACTACCTCTCACCCTTCACAAAAATCAACTCAACGTGGATTAAAGACCTAGACATAAGAACGGAAACCATAAAATACCTGGAAACAAAGATGGGCCAAACACTACACGACATACACTTTTGCGACATCTTTAAAGACAGAGCACCCAATGCCACAATAGTGAAGGCAAGGATAAATAGACAGGACAATATAAAGTTAAAGAGCTTCTGTACAGCAAAAGAGACATAACAAAAAACAGACAGACAGCCCACTAATTGGGAAAAAAAATTTCTCATACAAAACCAGTGATAAAGGACTGATCACAAAAGTACATGGAAAACTGATGAAATTCAACAAAAATAAACAACCCCATCAAAAAATGGGCAGAAGAGCTAAAAAGACACTTCTCCAAAGAGGAAATGCAGATGGCCAACAGGCATATGAAAAAATGTTCAACATCACTCCTAATAAGGGAGATGCAAATTAAAACCACAATGAGATACCACCTTATCATTTCACACTAAAATACAGTGTTTAGAGTTACAAATTTCATAACAAGAGAAAACTAGTAAAAGGAAAAAGATGGTCCAAGAGGAGCTTTATATAGACAGCATACTGATGACCCCATGGAGTCTATAACATTTACTAACTTAAATTTCAGTTTAGTTGAAAAAGATACCTGCACCCCCATGTTTATTGCTGCTTTATTTACAATTGGAAAAACATGGAAGCAGCCCAAATGTCCAAAAGTAGATGACTGGATAAAAAAGATGTGGTACATATATACAATGGAGTACTACTCAGCAACCAAAAATAAAAAAGAAACACATGTCTTTTGCAGCAACATGGATGGAGCTGGAAAAGATCATGCTTAGTGAGATAAGCCAGAAAGAGAAAGAAAAATACCGGATGGTTTTGCTCATAGGAGTATAATGGATGAGGCGAGAAAAATAATAATAATAATGAACAGCCATATACCAGAGACATTTTGTGGGGGTGGAGTGGGGAATGGGATCAAAAACGGGGGATGGGGAGGGAAGTGCATGGTGATGGCACATGGGTGACTCAGTGATGGGAAACCCACGGGGATTACAATTGAGATGAAAAAAAAAAAGTACAAAAATGATGTAAAAATAAACTATTATATTTTTTTAAAAGTATGATACACTCTCACACCAGTGAGAATGGCACACATTAAAAAAACTGGCAACAACAAATGTTGGTGAGGATGTGGAGAAAAAGGAACTCTCCTCCACTGCTGGTGGGAATGCAAACTGGTCTAACTACTATGGAAGGCTGTGTGGAAATTCCTCAGACTACTAAACATGGAGCTACCATATGATTCAGCAATTCTACTGCTAGAAATATACCGAAAGAACACAAAAACATTAATTCAAAAGGTCACCTGCACCCATATATTTACTGCAGCACTATCTACAGTAGGTAAGATATGGAACAATCCAAATGCCCAAAAACAGATGACTAGATCAAGAAATGTGGTATATATACACAATGGAATACTGTTCAGCAGTCAAAAAAGATAAAACTCATGCCGTTCACAGCAACTTGGGTGGATCTGGAAGAGATTATGCTCAGTCAAATAAGCCAGAAAGAAAAAAGAAAAATATCAGAAGGCTACACTAATAGGAGGAATGTAGGGGGACCATATAAGGTATCAGGAAAAAAATAACAAGGAAAAAAAAAAAACTAGCAGGCAATTGCAAATCAGAGATGTTCTTCAAGGGAGGGGGGGCAGAGGGATCAAAATGGGAGGGAAGAGCACAAGGGACTGTGGTGATTGTGCACAGGTGACCTGGAAGTGGGAATTTTACGGGGTACACCTAAGAGGAGAAAGCATATAATGTACAAAAATGCATAACAATTAACACACACACACAAACACATATATATAATATTTAAAAAATCAAAAATAAAACCAGTACCAAATACACATCACATACACATTCTGCTTATCTAGATCAATACATTAGGGTTTTGTTGGACCTGTGACATTAGTCCACATTTGTAGCTGAAGAATTTTTCAAAACAGAAAAGGTTCTAGGAAAAAGGGTAGAGGATGGGGAAGCAGTGGTCACATGATTTCAATTCTACTTCCTTACCATCTCCACCACTTCCACTTCTGCCTCAATGCGTAGGTGATACAGGAAGGTGGCCAGGTCTTTCTTCATCTGAATACTGTTGTCTTCCAGCTGGGCTACTGTGAAGATCCGTATGCTGCATTTTCGCCACACCTGAGAGTGTACAATATTTACATGAAAAATTAGATGCGAGAAGGCAAAAAATTGTTATTTTCTGAATAATACACACAAGGCACTTTTGCTTAGAACAAACTTGCTACTAGTACCAGGTATCTGTTCCTAATTTCCAACTTGCTATGTTTTTATACAGTAAGTCCTCACTTAATGTCATGAATAGGTTCTTTGTCACTTCAACTTGAATGAAAAAATTATAAAGAAAGCAGGTCCTGGAGTAAGGTGATTTTGGTCACTGCTAGGCAGGACTTGTTTTCTCTTCCATGTCATAATGACACAAGGTTGAAAAAAATCACATCATTCAACAACCTGCTACCCAAAGGCAAAAGCTGAACTAAGCAACACACTAAATACAGTGTTTAGAGTTACAAATTTCATAACAAGAGAAAACTAGTAAAAGGAAAAAGATGGTCCAAGAGGAGCTTTATATAGACAGCATACTGATGACCCCATGGAGTCTATAACATTTACTAACTTAAATTTCAGTTTAGTCCTACCAAAGGATGTATATGTGCATAAGATACACATACTACTACGTGCATCCTTACGTTTCCAGTATTTATGAGACTTTCTATGAGACTTTCTTTTATTTTTTTTTAACTAAAGATTTATTTTATTTACTTATGCATACAAGAACTGAGGTATAGGCCAGATGCGAGGGGTGGTGGTGAGAGGATTCACCAGAGACAGAATGGGGAGCAGAACAGGCCGACTGACTAAAACACATTTCTGAGGGGAGCAGGGGCAGGACAGGAGAGGTCTGCCATGCCATGTGGGTCAGATCCCTGGCTAACTCCAGCTGCAGGGGCTGCTGGTAACAATAGCTGTGCTTTAACCCCTTGCACCACCAGGGAGCGCCCACTTTCTCTTTTTTAAAAGAAATGTTCACTACTTATTTTTTCCAAGGGCTCAAATGGAACTTTATTAATTTGCTGAGTCACTAGGAGGTAGGTTAACATCAGTCACAAAGGAAATGATTTCTCATTAAGTTGAAACGGGGATCATAGGAGAATCAAGCTTCTAATTCCAATTCTTTTTATTCTAAGCCCCAGCATTCAAAAAGTAAGAACTTGTGTGGTAAGCCAGGAGAGAAAGTCAGGGATAAAGGTATCTGTACAAGTTGCCTACAACACCTTGTGCTGCTTGAGCAGGAATGGCAGCAGCATGAGCATCCCCCCGTCATGCACAATCCACCACACATCAATGTTGCCCTCAGGAAACTGTTCCACGTTGCTGGGGAAGAAGGAGATGTTCTTAGCCACCAGCAGAGCCAGGTGGGCAGCAGTTGTGACTCGCACTGTGCCTAAGGAAAAAAGAGAAAATCAGGATAAGCAGAGAAAAGTCCTCAGGATTACTCTGCTTCACATATGTCAGGAAATGAGGCTAATGTTCTCCTCACATCTTGGATACCTAGGTGTCCTATTTACACAGCAGGCTCTCCCTCACTGGAAAAAGATCACTAGAAAAAAATCTTAATAGCTTACAGACTTAAACTGAAAACCATGAAATATATATTCTTATTCTAAGGGAGAATGTGAATTTGATGCTGAAGGGCAATCCTTCCAATTCCTGTGAGAATGTAAAAATGAGAATCACAAACGAATACCATGGCAGTTTCAGAGATAACTCCTGATATAAAGATGTGCCAGAGAGAAGTGGATAGAATGTAGAGTTGGAAGGGGTGAGCAAAGTCAGGTTATTATGACTAATAATAACTAATAAGCTATCAGTGCCCTTATAACACACTGCTTCAACAAGGGGACAGTCCCTAGTAGCCTAAGGGATAGACTCCTATTTAGGCCCTCAGGGGAGTCTAAGTGTTTCGTACCAATAAAAGTCTTCCATGCCCGAGCATCTTCACTCTGGCGCCAGCCATTAGGCCATCCCATTACCACTGTGTTGTGCTTCATGCCCCCAAGGCCACACGACTGGATGAGGTGGGAAATGCCCTCTTTCAGCTTGGCAGCCACCACCAGCTGGCAGAATCCCTTCACCTTCTCTGCCTCCATTAGGTGCTTTATGGTCTGAAAGAGATAAAGAACTTTAACACTTAATTGCTTTATCCTGGACCTTAACCTAATACTCTTCTCCATATTATATTACCCTCCTCTTTTCAAACTCTGCATAAGACCTATCTCCTGTAGAAAAGTTCAAAGGTTAAAATTATCCCAATGAAATTCATTATCCTCTGTTTTTCTGCACTTCCCAAGTGCTTACTACACAAATAGTGGGTTGTCTACATGTAGTTCCTCTGCACTTTCCTCAACTATGGTTTTTTTCTTTGTAATAAACCAACAAAATAGACAAGAGGGATTTTCAAAAAGGAAATATTAAATATTCTTTCCTAACTGACTAGGTTAAGTTCACTAGTGTGAACATGATCTCTCTCTTGCTTCAGTCTCAGTCATGCCCTGACTCATTACCAGAAACTTAATCTGATGATTTAGTTTCACTTTAGAGTTTTCTCAGGTAGGTTTTCTTTTTTGATTCTCCTATTTCCTTATTGTTTTAGACAATTTAATGGTGATTACTGATGACACTTACACTTGTCTTGTTTATTCATGCAGATTTGGAGACAATATTTCATTTACTCTTACTCTACCCTTTCGGTGTGAAAAATCAATGATTTTTCTCAAAGGCATACATCAAGTCAGTGGTATAGCTAAGACAGTCCTGTGCTCTTTTTTTTTTTTTTTTTATTAATTTTTACCATCATCCTAAAGTTTCTTCACATTTCTAGTCTGTAGGGTTTCAAGGCATTACGACATGAAATCTGATAAAAATGTTTTAATGCAACTGAAAATTTCTCCAAACTCAGAGTTAGAGCTACTGTTTATAATAAGTACTAGAGTGAAATACTACTTTTTATCTTCAGGTACAATTTCTAATATTCAGTATAACTTTTCAGAAATAGCAAAGGAATCTTGCTTATGATACCACACAGATTAGTAAAGAGGATGAAAAGATGCTCATTACTGCTTGTCATCACAAGATTCACAGGCAACATTTCAAGGGACAGATTTATATACATGATTTCTCTCAGGGCTGAGTCAATGTTTGTAGACTATTTAGAAATAGTTCTTAGTCTTGATAAGCTACAGTTATGTAATACTTTATTTAATAAATGGAAAGAAAGAATAAATTACTATCTTCTGCCTTATCTTATTTGGGAGACTATGACTGTTCAAAAGTCAGCTCTCAGGGTGAAACCTCTTAGATCATTCAGGGAAGGGATTAACTTAGATGTCTAAGGTCTTACTACTTAACATCACAAGACCAAAGCTAAACAGCACCAACTCAACAAGTTTTGACTCTTACCTGCTCAGCAGCCAAAGCTTCACCATAGTTCTCCAGGAAGTTCCCCACAATGACGGAGCCCACAATAGTGAGACCCTTTCCTGCTTTGAGTTGTGAAGCAAAGGTAAGGAGGCGAGGATGCTTGACATGTAAGTCTTCATCTAGTTTCAGTAAAACAAGTAGCTGAGGCCTATAAAGAAGTTCACAGGGGATGGAGGAGAGAAAAAACGTTAGGTTTGGGAAACAGAATGACAATTCTACCCTTTAAGTCAGGAGATCTGTATGAAACATAATTTGACAGAGAGGAATTTATTAGAGGAAATGACAGGATTAGAATATAGTTATTCTAAATCCTTCTAGTATTATATCAAATTAATTGTACCTTCAAGAAAGAATAAAAGTGGTAGAAATCTAGATCATAAAGCAAAAAAAAAGGAATCAAGAATTTGATATCATTCAAAACAAGTTTGTTAAACCAATTCCTTAAGTCACATGATTTCCTTTTTCTGTAATCAATGAAGCACACATATCTCTGTGTTAACCATGTGCCATACCCTAAGCTCTGTTATTTCTTTACCTCCAGTTCTTAGTGTGTGGAGGTCCTTCTTCTAGTCGAAGTAGAGCAAACCGGGCTGCACTAAGGGACAGCCCACGAATACCATCACCCCATTCTTTCTCAGCTCTGGACAAAAAAGGAGAAAAGAGGAGGGACAGAATAAAACTATAGTGGAACAATATAAAAAAAAAAGCTTATTTTTTCTGAATCTAAAAGTACCATGCATAAGGTAGAAGATTAAAACTATATTACTGATTTACATAATGCTTTATACTAACATTGTGAGTCCTCTGTAAGCATATCAACACTACCACTCACTAGCAAATTATATTGCACAATAGGACTGGTCACTGTCTTTTACTTGGGTATTCTAGGTATTCAAAAACAATACTATAAAATAGTAATCTGGATTAGGAGATTAAAACAGGTACAAAGTTTAAGGTCTTTTGAAAATAATGAGGGTCATGTAAAATTCAATGTAACCTTCTGAATCAGGGTGTTACTTACTCCTACTTTTAGCAAGTTGTTAGTGAAGTCATAGTTGTTACAAAGTTATTTGGGATGAAATTTTTTCTCCATTTCAGAGACAATCCCTGATTGATGAGATAAATAAGAATACTTCTATTTGTGTTATACTTTAATTTCATATTATTATTTAGACATGTCATTTTAGTTGTTTTTTCGTAGAGCCATTCAGACTTTCTAAACAGATTTCCATAAGACTCAAAGGTCATCTCTGTAAGATGCTAAGAGAATAAGGGATACAAATTTAGTTATGGATGAAGTTACCTGTTCCTTGAAATTTTCAGTGGACTGATACTAATGAAGTTAGCCAGTTATATTTTTAGGAGATATCAAGGTCAAATTCAGACTTACCCTTGGTACTCGATGTACTTGTAGATCATACCAGCTATTACCATAGCTACAATGGCATAATACCAGGAAGAAATGAACATCAGAGCCAGACAAATACTCATTCCCATGAAAGAAAGAGCCCTAGAAAATTAAGAACACACAAAAAGTATCTTTCTAACTAGCTAAAAACAGAAGCCTCTGCAAGAGATGCCTCTTAAACTTTGGCAAAGGATTATTTTTTTAAATTCCAATTCATTGTATGAAAAACTTTCAAAATGGAGTAATAATCACTAGAAAAGCTATTTTATGCCTGGATGTTGTAGCAATATCAAATTGCTATAAAAATTCCTAAATTGGGCCCTCCCTGGTGGCGCAGCGGGTTAAAGCACAGCACTGAGAATCTAAAGCCACTTCCTCATGAGTTCGATTCCCGCCTGCCCCAGAGGCGACCACATGGCGTGGCAGACCTCTCCTGACCCGCCCGCTGCTCCCCTCAGCAGTGTACTTCGTCAATCTGCCTGTTCTGCTCCCCGCTCTGTCTCTGGTGAATTCTCTCACCCTCCGCATCTCTGGCCTGTACCCCAGTTCTGTACAAATAAATAAATAAATCTTTAAAAAAAAAAAATTCCTAAATTACTCAATAATTAGTTGCCTTATGATGGACTGGTAACAGTCAGTATCTATGTACTGAGCCTCAAATCGTTCTTTGTGTTAGATGCTTGATTATTGGGAAAACATAAATGAACAGGGACTACAAAAGTCATCTGCAGATAATTAAAGAAGATAATTAATACCTGGCTGGCAAAGCAGGGATGGCACACAGAGTCAAAATTATTAATTATTGTATTTTTTTAAGTTTTTCATGTAAACATTCCTAGAAACTTTGAGATCATTTATTTAGCATAACTGCAGAATCAGCTAGAAAAAAAAAATGCCATCAGTCTCCACATTCTCCATAAAAACAACTTCAAAAGTTAAAGGTAAAAAGGTCTAGCCGCCAAACATCATTTCATGGCCTACCACTAATAAAAGAAGGCAAACCGGGTCTGGAAGAAAGTCAGCAAACAGGATAAGGGACACAGAGAACCTATCAATGGCCTTTGAGCTCAAAGAAAAAGAAATAGAGGCCCTCCCTGGTGGCGCAGAGGGTTAAAGCACAGCACTGAGAATCTAAAGCCACTTCCACATGAGTTCGATTCCCTTCTGCACCGGAGGTGACCACATGGCGTGGCAGACCTCTCCTGACCCGCCCGCTGCTCCCTTCAGCAGTGTATTTCGTCGATCTGCCTGTTCTGCTCCCACTCTGTCTCTGGTGAATCCTCTCACCCTCTGCATCGCTGTCCTGTACCCCAGTTCTGTATGAATAAATCTTAAAAAAAAAAAAAAAAGGAATCTGAGCATAAAAAAGAGACAAAGTCCAATTATTAGCTAAGATAGAAACAGCAAAGTAGATATGCAACGGTTGTTTTAACCTAAAGAACATAAGTAAGATGAAATATTGCATAATTATGATCATCAGTCTCCAAAGGATGTTAAAGTTATTTTAACACAATGTATGAAAAGGTATGGTAGGAAGGTGGGAATTCAGGTGAGTACTGAAAGTTGGAACAGACAGCATGAAAAGCTGGCAAAGAAAAATATATCAAGAACAAACCTAGAATCTCCTAGTTTTCTAGTTTAATGATCAGTTCTCCAAATGTGGGGGGGGGGGGAATAACAGACTTACCAGTGGTAGTAGCGGAACCTGGGTCTCCAGTTGGGTGTTCGAAGTAATGTTTGCAAGGCACATGCTAAGTTTACAAAGAGGTAACACATGAGAAAAAACCTGGAAGGAAAAAAAGAAGAGTTTATTACTATTACCTTTAAATAATAACTCAGTGCTATTTTAAATAACCAGACACCTCTGCTGTACATAAGCCTTTTTTCTAGTCCAGTAGCTTTTGATTAAGATTGGAAATTAGGAAAATATAAATTTCCCACAAATCTGTTCATCCTCTCAGTGAATGATACAACAACCAATAATCCAATTGCTCTTGGGATAATCTGTTTTTTCTGTTATTCGTCCATCCTTGCTCCAAATTCATCTATAACCTCCAATGGATTACACATATTTAGAAATTTCTATACTTTCTTTCCCTTTCCATCTTTTTTTTTTTTTTTATAGATTTATTTGTGCATACAGAGCTGGGGTACAGGCCAGAGGCTCAGGGGCGGCGAAAGGGCTTCACCAGAGACAGAGTGGGGAGCAGAACAGGCAGATCGATGAAGTAGACTGCTGAGGGGAGCAGCAGGCAGGTCAGGAGAGGTCTGCCATGCCATGTGGTCACCTCCAGTGCAGAAGGGAATTGAACTCATATGGAAATGGCTTTAGTTTCTCAGTGCTGTGCTTTAACCCTCTGCACCACCAGGGAGGGCCCCTTTCCATCTTTACTACTATCATCTTAGTCTAGGACCTCACTTTTGTACTGAATCAGTTAAATAAGTCTTGTGCCTTATTTAAGAATTCCCAGTTCAATTTTAGCATCCTTCTAATCTATCCCTTATATCAATCATTCTAAAATAAAAATACATGAATTTTGTTTTTTAAAGGCTTACTTGCTATTTCCAGGTAAAAGTTTCAGATCCTTTGTGGTCTAGATCTGTCCACCCTCTGGTCTGCTCTCCCCTACATTCACTTTCTACCAATGTACCACTGATTCTCTGGGTGTGCTGCATTAGTTCATCTCTCAGTCATTTTATACACATTCCCTACCTACAATATCTTTCCTTCCTTTGTTACTTAGCAAATAACCAGTCATTCTTCAAGATACAAGTGTTAGACCCTCCAAAAAACCTTTGCATCTCAGTCCACTTAAGTATTCTCACGTTAGAGCTTTCCCAGCCTACAGTGTTTACCTTTGCCATCACAAGTACTCAATATAATACCTAAGGCTGTGTCTCATTCACCTTTGTATTTCCAGCACAACGCACAGTGCCAGGGAGGTAGTAAGTTATCAGTAAGTCTCAGAAGAATGAAGAAAAGCTAACTGTAGCAGTAATAACTCAACCTGTTGATAACAAGTCAGAAATAAAGATTTTTTGAAGCTATGTAAGTAAAACCACTCTAATTTATGAAAGTTAGCCTAACATGAAACTTCTTAGTTATATTTATTAGTTAGATGAAGCTACATCTGTATTTGGCTCACTCTGTCGTTTTCATAATTGTCAAGTACCCAACAGAAATAAACGTGAATTATAAATCATATAAGCAAGGTTAAGTGAAGAGACTATCTGGTTCTTACATGGATAGGATTGGGGCCACAAGATCCAGCGAGGCGATAAGGATTCCCAGCTCTGCGATGGCAGCAGTTAAAAGTAAAGCCCATGTAGGTTCCCCGTTGGCTTTGCTGTGACCAAAAACCTGTATATAGAAGGCAAATATCACAGATATAGGAGTGTTTGGTCAAGCTCCCTGATTCCTCTATGCTACAGTTTCAGGAATCTGAAAAAATAACAGTGTTACAATTATATATCTTTTCTTTCCTTTTTTTAACCATTTTTAATACATAGAATACAAATATTTTCTTTACAAAATTAAGGCTGTAACATTTCACAGCTAAAGTTTAAGAAATATTTGGTGATTTTTTAATCCTTCACAACAATTTTATTTCCTTTCCCCACACCCCCAACTTTAAAATGACCTAACCAAATGTTATCAAAACAAACACTATAAATAACAGCAAGCCCTTTAAAGAAGGATAATCCAAGTTATTTCTTGGCATGAGATGGTCTAATTTTAAGTCTCTGGCAGCTCCAGCCAACATTTCATTTTCAAATATAACAAAAGCAAGGTCATATCTCCCAGGTACCTAACATATTTCATTGAAGCCAAGGAACTGACTCAACAACACAGATAACATCTCTTTAGTGTCCCTCAGTTACTAAGCAACCAAACAGTTGTTAGGGTAATCAGGAACTTAAGGGTGTGATGTTGCATTTCCATGAGTACTAGCAGAAATTGGTGATCCCCTGACCAGGCTTTTGTTGGTGGTTGTTCAGTTTCTTTTACAGTTTTGGCATTTTTCTTTTCTTTATCAACAAAAGTACCATGAATTTTAGATATTGGACTCTCTTTGCCTACTGACTTCACATTGATTTACCAGAAATGGAGATCCTTGCAACTGTCTCAAAGCATTCGTGGCTAAGCCCAGTTACTTATATACAACAAAGACTTGCCCCCTCACCTTCTCGTCTTTAAAACCACATGGCCAAACTCAGATAACAAAGCATATAGAGATCACTTCGATTCATCCTTTTTTATTTTGTCATTCATTTTGTTGATATGTATGATTTAGTCTGATAATCATATTTTGGACTAAGTTGCTTAAACAGCCTGAGGCCAATGTTATTTTTTTATGTCTTTTAAACACCTTTCCTCCACTCTTATAAACTCACACTAGGATTTAGAGGGTCCTGTACTAAAATGCACTATTAATAGTGCTTGTTTTGATAACATTTGGTCAAGTCATTTTCCTAAGCCTATGAAGACCATAATGTTCTCACAAAGCCTGAGAAAAAAGTAAGAGAGCATAGGAAAGGGTCACTTACTCTTAGAAAGGGTATGATGTTATCCTTGGCTATAGCCTGTAGCAGTCTCGGTGCACCTGTGAGGCTCTGCAGTCCAGCCCCACATGTTGAGAAGAAGGAGCCAATAACAATCACCCATGGGGAGGGCCAAGATAATGTGCCCACCACCAGATTACCTTCCACAGCATCCCCAAACCTGGGAGAGAAATAACGACAAGGAAATTTAATCTGATACAACTTTAGACTGATAGGTTAAGGGGGTATTCATGGAATTTTTTTCTATTTATAAAATTTTGAGGATGGAAAGTGAGCTAGAACTGAGTATTGAGATGTAAAGGTATGCAGATTTGATTAAAAGGCACTTTAACCTACAAGTAACCTATAGGGCCAAAAAATAAGCTAAGTATGTTACCTTTTCCCCTCAACTATTTGCTTTTTGCAAAAATATTGGATAAGCAGAGAAAAAGTCCCAAAAGTCCAAAAAGGGGAAAAAATTGATAATGATAACCTAACTGCTAGCACTGACTATATCTTGCACATTTTAGTCAGCTTATTATGACTAGATTTGGTCACAATGCCCTATAAATCTGTGTTCTTTTAAAACACAGTATTTTCCTATCTTTATGCACATGTCTACATTTATACTTAAGATTTTTTTTTATCATGGCAGAGTCCTAAGAGATGACCACTGCAACAAAAGCAATCAGTATCTTAAAATATTTCAAAGTAAGCATTATGCTTCTTTTCATAAAGGTCATACTAAGCGTTACTTCCACTGGGTGTATATGACAAAGAACACCCATGTTTCATGACAGCCTTGAGTATTAAAAATCTTCTTTTAAAGATTTATTTTTTTAAAGATTTATTTACTTATGCATACAGAACTGGGGTACAGGCCAGAGGTGCAGGGACGACGAGAGGATTCACCAGAAACAGAGTGGGGAGCAGAACCAACAGATTGACAAGAGTACAAGCTGAGGGAGCAGTGGGCGAGACAGGAGAGGTCTGCTGGCACCATGTGGGTCACCTCCAGGTGGGGAATCGAATTTGCACTGAAGGGCTGTGCTGAGCTTGCAGTGCTGTGTCCTAAGTCGTGGTGCCACCAGGGAGGGCCCTAAAGATTTATTTTTATTTATTTATGCATACAAGAAATTGGGATATAGCTAGAGATGTGGGGGCAGGGAACTGTGGGAGGATCCACGTGGCCTGGGCTCACACTCATGCTGTAGTGGCTGGCAATTGCTTAACAGCACTGAAACGTAACACCGGCGCCACCAGGGTGGACCTGAGTATTAAAATCTTAAAGTCATTACTAGTTTGATGGGTGAAACATCGCATCTCATTGTTTGTTTATGGTTTTATAATTTTTATAATAAGCATCACACAGTGGAAAAAGTAGATGCACATTTCAATTAGTTTACACAAAACAATTGTGCATGCAATTACCCTTCAGTCAAGAAACAGAACATTGCCAGTATCCAAACCTCTCTAGTGTGTACTTCCAATCATTAGTCTTTTTCCTCTCCACTATCCTAATTTTTATTATGCAGCTTTACCTGTTTTTAAACACTAGTAAATGAAACATAGACACATGTTTTGTTTCTTTCATTCAATATTGTGAAATACATCCATTTTCAGATATAGCTGTGCTTCATTTATCTTTATGGCCATTGCATTTATATGTAATTTATCCATTTTGCTGCTGACAGATATTTGGATTACTTCCAGTTTTGATTATTAAGAAAAATACTGCTGTGACCAAAAAAAATAAACACTTGCCTTTTGCAGCAACATGGATAGAGCTGGAAAAGATCATGCTTAATGAAATAAGCCAAAAAGAAAAGGAAAAATACCGGATGGTTTCTCTCATAGCAGGAATATAAAGGAACAGGTGAGAAAATAATGATAATGATGAACAGCCATATACCAGAGACATTATATGGGGGTGGAGTGGGGAATGGGATCAAAAATGGTGGGGGGAGGGAAATGTACTGGACTATGGTGATGGCACATGGGTGATTTGATGATGGGAAGCCCATGGAGATTACAACTGAGATGGAAAAATGTACAAAATGATGTAAAAATAAATTATAAATTTTTTTTTTTTAAAAAGGAAAACACTGCTGTGAAGATTCCTGTGTATGATTACAAGGCACTTGTGCAGCACTTCTGTCAACTGCACCTGGTAGTGGGGCTGAAAGCTTGTAAGGGCCATGCATGTTCAGCTTTAAGGATTAATGACCAACAGCTTTCCAAAGTGGTATTACAATTTATATTGTCAATAATTTTTATATTATGGTGTAATTTACCAAAGCTCTACAAAGTCATAATTTTTCAATTACAATAGCATAGTAATAATAAACTCTGCTATTTTTGTCAACAATATTTATGTAGTATCTACCAGGTTACAATCTTCAAAGGACTCAACCTATTAGGGGAGAGTGACATGAAAATAAAGAAATGCAATGTAAGAAGGTAACTGCAATAATGTGGTATATGCAAACATATTGGTTGAACAAAGGGATGAATGATTATCTCTGGGTGAGTCTGAGAAAGCTTCGCAAGAGAGAAGACAGAAAGAAAAGTCTAGTCTGAAAGAATGTAAGGCAGTAGTAATCCATTCTAAGCAAAAGAAATAGCACCCAAAAATGAGTGGATGGGAGATCTGAAACAAAGTATATTTAACTTTAAATTATAGCTGCAGTTTATGTGAGGAAGGTGAAGATGATAGGCCCAAATCATTGTGATGAGTTTTAAGGAATTTTGGTTGGCTCTGAAGTATATGATCAAATTTTGTATTTTAGAAAAACCATTTTGGTAGCAGTGTGGAAGAAAGATTAGAAGATAGTAAAGTGGTAAAAAAAATGATAGGGAAATTATTACAATAATTGAGGCAAAAATCCTGAAGGTCTATACAGAGTGAAGGGGATAAAATGGAAAGAATGAGATCTTTGGGGGGGATTGGTAGGATTTAATAGAGCTTAGAAACTAGTTGGAATATAGAAAAAAACCTAGACTGACACTTAAGATTCTGTTCTGTGAGAGGGTAAAAGGCAAGGCTATTAACAAAGACAGGAAACATGGGAGAGAGGCAGCACAGATTTTGGCTTGAATTTTTCTAGAATTCTCTTGCAAACACATATTTTTTGCAGCCTTTGTTAAGGAGCTGAAGAAAGTAAGTTTTTGTTTTTAAAATTTATTTTTACATACAAGAGCTGGAGGGTAGGCCAGAGATATGGGATTGAGAGGATTCACCGGAGACAGGGGGAATAGAACAGGATTAACTAAAATACATTGCTGAGGGGAGCAGTGGGCAAGACAGGAGAGGCCCGCTGCGCCATGTGGACCACCTCCCTGGCCAGGGACAGAACTCAGGCTGCAGTGGCTGCAATAGCTTGATGGTGCTGAGACCTAATTCCTTGAGCCACCAGGGAGGCCCCAAAGAAAGTAAGTTCTAAGCATTTATTTGGAATGTCAACAGAAGTAAATGCATGCTTAGGTTTCATGTAGGATATACTAGAGACACCTGAAAATTTTTTCTTGTTTTACTTGCCTTTCTTTACTGTTGGTCTTAGTTTTGTCTTAGTTTTGTAACAGATCTTAAGGTAGAGGGAAGCCTTTCGTATTCACACAAACTCACTGTTTTGTTGCATCTCACATATTTACAACAAAATACTGGCCTTTATTTACTAGTCTTTGGGGAATTATCACATATTTCCAAACTGTCAAGTCATAATAGACACCTCAGTTTGGGATATGAGCTTATAACAATTGTGAAACCTTCTGGAATATCACACAGACTGGAAGACAGGTATGTAACTGTAAAAAAGAAAGCAACTACTCACTTGTCTCTTAGAACAACACCTTCAATACATGCACCAAAAAGGACAACATTGCTTAAATCTACATCTAGAGTCAAGGAAACTGATGTTCACTCTCTAAGATTATACAGAAAGTAGTTACTCAGGATACTGCTACCATTAAAATACACTGCTAAATTCACAAATCCTATAAATTTTCACTGAATTTTAGAGATGAAGTGAGATATCTGGTGAAAGGTGTGGTGACAGAAAGCAGGTATCTTTATTACCAAGATAAAAACACTGTTCACCCCAGTAGTTCTGGACATCCCACATCTCTGTCACTAAGACCGAACCAAATCTACGTAAAGGATACAGACAAAGGAGGTGGTCAAGATGGCAAGGACAGTGCCAATGGGAATAGACTTCTGGGCATCTTTCAGATCTCCAGATCTGTTTGATCCAGCCATGATACCTTTCAAGAAGGAAGAGAGGACATATTAACTTCCTGGGTTTATACTAATAGCTAAGTCTAGCGACAAATCTAAGAACCCTTAGAAAAATCACTCCCTGAGTCTGACAGTTTCTAAAATAGACAATAGCTCATCTGCTTACCTGTGACAGAGGGAAAGAAGATGCCCACCAGAAGAGTGAAGGAGGTGGTGATGTCAACAAGGACGTACTCATGGTTTAAACTGCCTAAGACATCAGAAGATTTTGCTGAGGGCTTTTCAATGATCTCTCCCTTGGGCAGATAATTACTCCAAAGATTCTCTGTAGTGGGGAAAAAAAACAGCATTATGGAAAGAAAATAATTAAATTATTTTATAATTAATTGAATAAAGTTATTCCCCCAAATTGTAAATCAGATTTCTTACATGTATAGTTTTTATAGATATGTTTGCTTCTACATGAGCATATAATGTATGTATGCCTATGTGTATATACAATAAACACATTTAATAAAAATCTACTGTCCTTTACCTGATTAAAATTTGATAAGCTATTGGTATAAGAAACAAGAGCAATTAGGTTATACAATAATGAAAATTGCCAAAAGTTAAGCAGACTAACGATGAACGACCCACAAAGTTTATTATTTTTTAACTAATCATCAATATTGTTTCTAACACCTTAGTACATAAATGTGTCTACCTATAAAGGATTTTATGGACCAAATATTTAAGACAGAAGTCACTTAAGGAAAGAGTAAAATTTAGCTAAGTTAGAAAAATACCTAATGGTGACAGTAAGTTCTATTTTAGGAACTATTTTACAATAAGACACAAATAATGCACATTTTATTAACTTATCCTGAGTTAAAAAGTGTTTTACGGGCCCTCCCTCGTGGCACAGCAGATTAAAGCACAGCACTAAGAAGCTAAAGTCATTTCAGCATGAGTTTGATCTCCGCCCTGGAGGTAACCCACATGGCATGTCAGACCTCTCCTGACCCAACCTCTGCTCCCCTCAGCAGTGTATTTCATTGATCTGCCTGTTCTGCTCTCCACTCTGTCTCTGGTGAATCCTCTCACTGACCCTGCGCATCTGGCCTGTACCCCAGTTCTGTATATATAAATAAATAAATCTTTTTTTTTAAAAAAAAAGTGTTTTACTCTGCTCTGCTCCAAAAAAAAAAGATAAATTTTAGCAGACAACACTCTGGAAGGGAGTCCTGGGAAAGGATAATAAATTTGCTAACAGAAAAGCAGAAAGAGGTTGAATTAAGAATTGCATGCTAAGCTTAAAGAAGTTCTCTGGCAGTGAGCCTTTATGGCCAATCGAAGTTTAAAGCAGCAAATCCTGTTTTCCTCAGAGGGATTAAAAAAGACTAGTCTAAAATTCTCCTAACTTACCTGTAATGACACCACTAGCCAGTCCAGGAATTCCCTGGATTGAAGTGACATTATTGTGAACAAAGTATTCGTCACAGCTGGCATTAAAGAACTGACTGGAGTTACAGAAGAAGCCCCATAACTTAGACGGTACTGTCATGTTGTTAACTTCCTTAGTCTTAGAGCAAATGTCAATGTGCCTTGATGAAAGGGTGCGGTTACCCAGCATGCAGACCCTAAGTGAGAACAAACAGGGGAAAAGATTAAGAAAGGGGGAAAAATACTTTAAACAAGAAATTAGGCTAGAAATAGGTCAGTAATGAAAAAATGTCAATCTCGTATGAAATTCCACTCTCAGAATGGAATGTAACTAATATTTATTGATTAGGTCTCTAAAATGGTGACACTGATTTTCTGCCAATTTAATCCTTACAATGATCTCACAATCCCCGTATTCTTATTTCTATTTTGTGGGTATAAGAAATAAAGTTTAGGGTCATGGCTGAAGTCACGCCATAGGTATAATAAAAGAATTCAAATACAAGATTTATCTGAAGACATTGTGTTAACATCTTCCAAGATTTCTAGGCAGTTAGTCAACTGGAAGGTGTAAAGTAATCTTAGATCAGTCCTTTGCTCTTCTACCAAAAAAGAAATCATCTCCCACCTCTTTTGGGTGCCAGGAAGAGCCAGCCTAATGTTTCTAACAGTCCCCTTGAAAATAGTATGCTTCTGGCTATTGGTTAGAGGATGGTGGCTAGGCTAGAATTTAAAAACACTGCCCTCAATGGACTAAGAGAAAACTGTTTTTGACCTAAGCTTATCCACACAAGAAAAAGAATATTTTTCCATCCCAGGCCAGGGAACTAAACCCCATGGTGCAGCAGACCTCTCCTGTCTTGCCTATGGCTCCCCTCAGCAGTATAGTTCAATCTGCCTGTTCTGCTCCCACTCTCTCTACTGAATCATCTTCCTTCCCCACCCACTGCAGCTCTGACCTACACCCCAGTTCTTGTATGCATAAATAAATTTTAAAATCTTAAAAAAAAAACTTTATAATGGCAAAATGACAGCATACATAATTAACCCTGTACCCACTGCTTAGCTTCAACTCTCAACATCTCCATCTTGTTTAAGGCATTCCTCAAGATCTTTTTTATTTTTTTATTTTTTTGATATTTTAAAGAAAATACCAAGCATCATGACCTTTTACTAACAAAAAAAAAAAAAAAAGAAACATCAAAGGAGAACTTGAGGAAAAATGGGATTTTCCCAAGTGTAGTATATTGTCAGAATGTAGCCTTTCATACTTTAATCTTAAAATGGATATTTAGCTAGTTTACAGTTGATAGATGAGTAGTCTAAAAGTTTGTAATGGAATTTATTATTGACATCATTAGGCATAGTAGAAGAAATAAGAAATTGGGGTAAATGATAATTAATTAACTTATAATTAACTTTTTTGGGGTAAGTTGTTTAATCTCTATGGAGTTTTTTAATCAAGTATTCTGTAATCAGACTAGCTCAAAAAAGGATTGATCAAGGTGGTCCCTGGATTATGCAGGTGACTTTTCATAGACAAATCTCTACAGTAAGATGACAAACAGCACTCAGTGGTGGTTAGACCCTCTGCCACAAGTCACAGAAAACAGGTGAGTCTGAGTCAACTATCTACACTAGCTCATTACTATTTCAAAAATATATATGTTAAGGTACCTGCATTACTGGCGTTACATAGTATAACCTATAAAGTCATGCAAATGGTGTGCTGTATGTTTTCCTTTATGACTAGAAAACTGACTATGATACTAACAGCAGTATAAAAATTTTAATTAGTTATGAATGCACAGATAGTTTTGTTTTCCTTTGACTCTTCATTTTTTTATTAATAAAAGGAATCTACTATTTTAAAAACTTTATAAAGTGCTGGCAATAACTACACTGCTTGTGAAGTCCTTCATGAGTACTTCAAATATGCACAAGTTTTCTCAGAGGATGTTGAAAAAAAATTCACCATCTATATCCAAATGATAGCTGCCAGTTCCATGCTTGAAATATTAGGATAACAAGCAACGTGACACAGTTTGGTGGAAGTGTCAAGCCTAAATGCTAACCTGGTTTATAAAGGAAAGAATTTCAGAGACACAATGAAATTCTAACTTGAAATGATCACATTACTAGATACTGGCAAAGAATATCCAATAATCACAGTCAGAGAGAAAAGCACATACGGGAACTCTGGAGGGGCAAAAGACGACTTGATGGCTCCAGCATAAATGGCCAAGATGGACACAATGACACAGGCCAGGAAAAGTGAAGCAAACTTGTTCACGTAGCGTACACCAATGAAAACTACCAACACCATGAGGACTAAGAAAGCTGTGCCGTAGACACGCATGTTATTTAGCATGGCTGCTGATTCCTTGAGTGCATCATCACTTCGAAAGATGGCAGCTCGGGGGACAATATATATCTGGTAAGCAAAAGAAGTAGAAAATGGGATCAACTCCAGGTAATCAGATATAGGGTTACTGTAGATTGGGGTATTATTAATAGGTTTTAAAGCCTACATGATATTCTTAATACCTACATTTCCAAGTACAAAAAACAAATGCATTAATAATTGATTCAGAATATTATCTAAAATAATTATAAAGCTATTTTGTGTTAAACAGTAAAGAAGTGTATCCCAGTGAATAAATAAATGAAAAACATTTTATTTCATTAGGACAAAAATAATAAGAGATAAACTTTTTACTTCTTCCCCAATAGTACAAGTCTTGCCTCTGAGATTAACTTCTGGGTCAAGAAGGAGGATGGTAGTGAACAAGTGGAGAGGAGGGAGTAGGCAGGTAAATGATAAACTTCTCTGTCTCCTATTCACAGGAGACAATAAGCAGTTAGCAACCATCTGACTGATTCCTGTTGCTGCTCTCTCAAAAATTTGATGGAAAAAAAATCCAAATCTCTATCTCTTTTATATTGCAAACCACAATTAAATCCTTATTACTCACCAGAAAAATTTCAATGGCACCAAGGATATACATGGCTGCTGCAAATGTGGTACCAAGATAAAAGCAGAGGCCAACAGCTCCCCCGAACTCTGGGCCCAGGGCCCGGGAAATCATAAAGTATGAGCCCCCAGCTAAAAGACAAAATATAGCATAAAAAAAGCACATTAGTCAGAGGAATGTAAAAACAAGTCTTGATAAGAATATACAGGAAGGACAAATTTTTCAGGCTTTCAAATTTTTTGAATGAAATAAAAAGTAAATTTGCTAGTGGTAAGTCAAAGCTGAAACTTTTATGGGAGAATATACTGCATGTCTAACACATGACATGAAATAGCACAATTTCTTAGAAAAAGATAGGAGAATATTTACTAGAGGCATGACATAGTTTAATAAAGCACATTTTACCTAAAAGAAGTTAAGAATGTGATGGAAATTAAAGCATTCCATTGCTGAGAACAAAAGAGATTTTAAAAGAAGGCATCCTGGGCCCTCCCTGGTGGCGCAGCGGGTTAAAGCACAGCACTAAGAAGCTAAAGCCACTTCCGCATGAGTTTGATCCCCACCTGCCCCGGAGATGACCACATGGCGTGGCAGACCTCTCCTGACCCTCCTGCTGCTCCCCTCAGCAGTGTACTTCGCAGATCTGCCTGTTCTGCTCCCAACTCTGTCTCTGGTGAAGCCTCTTGCCACCCCTGAGCCTCTGGCCTGTACCCCAGTTCTGTATGTACAAATAAATCTTTAAAAAAAAAAAAAGGCATCCTAAAGTCATATAGCATTAGTGTGTATAGGCAACAGACTAAAGAGTTCTCTTCCTCAGCATTTCACCTCTGGCTTTATGGCACAGGGAAATTACTGAAATCCAATCTCAGCCAACTGACCTGGCACCACTCCGTTAGTAGCGATGGCGCTCATGGAGATGGCAGTCAACAGTGTCTATAAAGAAGGGGAAAAGGCGATTGTTACTATACAAAGATAACATTTCTTTACTAATCAAACACTTCGCTTGACTGACTCATGCCTGTAGTTGCTTGTCATAGCTAGTAGTTATGGAAACAAGATGATATGGTTTAGCTCATCATCCCAGCCACATAACTGTTATCTGGAGTATTCTGTTACAATGCCCCTACTCCATAATCAATAAGGTAGGTGCTACTAATAACCACTGATCCCAGGGCTTTTCTGGTGGCACAAAGGTTAAGTCTGAGCACTATGAAGCTATCCACAGTCAGGGCAGCACAAGTTTGATCCCCGACCAGGGAGCTGACCCAAATGAGGCAGCAGACCTCTCCTGTCTCACCTGCTGCTCCCCTCAGCAGTGTACTTTGTCAATCTGCCTGTTCTGCTCCCCATTGTCTCTGGTGAATCCTCTCACACACACCACAAACCCCAATACCTCTGCCCTACAACCTAGTTCTTGTATGCATAAATAAATAAATCTTTAAAAAAAATAACCACTGATTCCACCCTAGAGAGCTTAGTTAAAACATTTAAAAAGCAGACTGGAAACTAACTGAACACGGACTACAACAATATTCAGTAAGGAAGGAAGGAACTTGCAATTTAAAAACATAGTCTAGAGGCAGAGTCCAGAATGTACTGCAGAGAGGGGGCAGATGGAGGCAAAGTGACATGTTATTGGGCTATTCTAGTTCAGTAAGAGATAAGGATGGGGGTGCTATCAGTGGGTATATAAGGAAGGGATTGTATGTAAGGGATTTCAGAGAAACCTGATTGAATTTGATGTAAGAGGCAATTAAGGAGTCAAATATGGTCTTAGTCTTAAAGTTTCAAGACTAAGAAACTAAACATAAAAAATAGAATTTGGGGCCCTCCCTGGTGGCGCAGTGGGTTAAAGCACTGTACTAAGAATCAAAAGCTACTTCCACATGAGTTCGATTCCCACCTGCCCCGGAGGAGATCCACATGGCGTGGCAGACCTCTCCTGACCCGCCCGCTGCTCCCCTCAGCAGTGTACTTCGTCGATCTGCCTATTCTGCTCTCCACTCTGTCTCTGGTGAAGCCTCTCACCCTCCACATCTCTGGCCTGTACCCCAGTTCTGTATGAATAAATAAATAAATCTTTAAAAAAAAAATAGAATTTGGGCCTCCCTGGTGGCACAGGGGTTAAGTCTCAGCACTATGAACTATAGGAAGACACTGCAGCATAAGTTCAATCCCCCCCCCACCTGGCATGGCAGACCCCTGGCATGGCAGACCTCTCCTATCTTACCCATTGCTCCCCTCAGCAGTGTATTTTAGTCAATCCACCTGTTCTGCTCCCCACTCTGTCTCTGGTGAATCCTCTTGCATCACCCTTCCCCCACACCTTTGAGCTCGTATGCATAAATAAAAATAAATCTTAAAAATGCAAATTTTAATAATAATATGATCTTATAATTACAATAATAGATGTGGTTGGGGTACAAGGATAAGAGTATTTTAAATTAAAGGAAGACCAGAACAATCTTGAAGATTAGACTTGTAGATGAGGAAGAGGAGAGGGAAAAAAATAGTTGCATTTCTTTGGAAAAGACAATGAGATTTCAGAACAAAACAAATATCCCTCACCCCCAAACAACAATCAATTTTGTTTCTCATTTGTACTGGAGTAATATATCACTTTTTCTATGTTCATTTTATGTCACAATTATGCTCAAATGATTGAACAAATGATTTGTATTCTGAATACTTTGAAGACAGGAATTGCATTTCTAATTGCATTTCTGTATAAGTACTGATTTATAATTTCTAGTACATATCTAGTAAGATATAAGCAGTGAATACTGACAATACTAAAAAACCTTTCAATTTTAATAACAGAATAATCTTTTCTGAAGAAATCACGAACTTTCCTCTAGTATTCCTTTTTTTTTTTAAGATTTATTTATTTATGCATACAGAACTGGGGTACAGGCCAGAAGTGCAGGGGCAACGAGAGGCTTCACCAGAGACAGAGTGGGGAGCAGAACAGGCAGATCAATGTAGTACACTGCTGAGGGGAGTAGCAGGCGGCCAGGAGAGGTCTTCTATACCATGTGGGTCACCTCCAGGGCCAGGGTTCAAACTCATGCTGACGTGGCTTTAGCTTCTTAGTGCTGTGCTTTAAGCCGCTGCACCACCAGGGAAAGCCAGTATTCTTTATCTTACTCTCAGAGAGGTCAGGTGCATATGCTTGATCTCTCAAAATGTTCCCAGTTATCTCCAGGAACCAACTCAGAACTTACACAGCAGCAGCAGATGAGAACAATTGCAAAGGCCTGGAGAACTCCAGCTGTGCCCACAACCCATGTAAGGCGAAGAAACAGTATCACACCAAAAATATTTTGTAGACATGGGAGGTAGACACCCATGAAGGTACCCATTTGGGGGCTCTGGAATAAAATACATGACAAAAGGAAAAATTATATAGTCATCGAGAAAAGACACTTTTATTCCTTTACCTTTATATGAAAATTTATTCCCTTACTACCAAATTAATTAAACACTATCTTTAAAAGGTGCATGTAAAATCTCCACCTTATAAATGTCTGTCATCACACCTTTTACTATTCCTAGAGCTATACATTTTTATTTAACATAGGTCCCCACATAATTCTACAGACATTTGACCACAAACAAAAATTTTCAGTGTTCCCCCAACAATTTAAAATTTTCTATTCTTCAAAGCTGTTATCTTTTGCTTTTCATTTAAAAATAGAATAATTTGATGGAATTCCTTCAGAAGTCAGCATAAGTCCTTCACAGCAGTTGGTGACTATAGCTGGTAAGATGAAGATCTCAGGACATTTTGCTCCTGAACAACCAGAAAGCTAACTTGTAATAATACTGCTCCACATTTCATTTTGAGAAAAACTGATATTTGGTCTTTGAAAAAGACCAACAACTTCACAACAGACAGATGGCGTCGGCAGATGGAAGTGCTGTCTTTCTCCTTGGAATGCTCTTCTCCCAGCTATCACAAGGCTCCCTTCTTCAGGCTTTCTTTGCGAGTGTCGCTCTGATCAGGATTTCCCTGATCTAGCTCTCTAAATGTCCACCCCTCTGCCCTGCTTCCCTTGCAGACAGCCTCAGTCTTTTTACCTGCTTATATTTGTGGCTTAGTTTTACTAACACTTAATATGCTAGATAGCTTAACATAGTTAAACCATCTTAAGAACTGTCTGCCCACAACAGAATTCAGATGATAGTGGGCACTGTTCTTTCTGCTTGTGCTGTGACCCCCATGCCCAGAACATTACCTGGCACACATGAGTAATTCAATAAATACAGTGATGCCCTGGATATTTCTTCCTTTCTTATATACAGGCTCTTTTTTTATTTGTCCTTGTTATTCAAAGGCCTCACCTTGGTGGGCTTCTTTTTCCCTTCAGTGATATTCTCTGCTTCTTCATGTTCCTTTGCTCCTTGTGTTAGATTAGTATAATTGGCCATACGATTGAGAAGAGAAGAAACCTTTGGTCTGGTGTCCATTTCTTCCTGTAAAACCAGAAATATGGGAGAAATAAGTGACACATTGGAAATAAGAATCAAAATGATCTCTGTAACCAGAAAACTGCAAAGGAATTGAGAAAACATTTCACAATATATTTTTTAATTGTGAGACTTTGTATTTCCCCTACATTAAGATACCACACTTAAGCAAGACAACAAGAATTCTTGTAAAATCCTTAAATGAAAAGCTTCATTATTCTGGTAACCTTACAGTGAAAACAAAATTATACTGGCTCCTACAGAGAGGTGGAACCTCATAAAGAACACAGATGAAATCTGCCACCACAGTACCCCCTTTCTTTAGGCTACTGACATTCTACTAACACTGATGGTTATTATTTATAGTTTATAGTATCAAGCAATGACAGGTCAATAAAAACATTCTGTGCTGAATTAAATATTCACCTTAGATCTTTTCTTTAAGGAATGTGAGAGAAAACATTAAAAAAAAAATAGACACATTGAGGGAAGTGACACTCATATCACTGTTCGAAGTTAGACAAAGAGAGCACTGGAGTAAAGCTGGTTCTTTTCCACAACCTGGCCACAGACCCTAGCAGAACCTACACTGTCTTAGTCAGACAGGACACACAGATCCTTTTATTCTCGTAGCTGGCTTTCTACACTGATCTTTGTTCAGTAGTTCAAAGGTAAGTGACAATCTTCCCAAACATGGAGTTGAAAAATACATTTTTATACTTAAGAAAAGTGAATTACAAGGTAAACATTTAAATCCTAGTTGAACTAAATAGTAAGGTTCTCCATAAGCCTGCAATGCCAATATTCTTCTGCCTTCCTCTACAGAAATTTGATTTAATGAATAGTCATTAAGTAGTGGTAGTTAGACACACTAAATTAATTGTGGTGACAAATTAGAATAACTACTGTATTTTAACAAGCTATTGAACTATCCAGTCTGTACTGTTTTAAAACTAAATATGGTATAAAACAGCCACCTTCCTTTTTCTGTAACAATGGTTTACAACACTGTGTATGATATAGGGAAATCGGCTCAGATCTCTTCAGTCAATGTTAGCACACCACAGCCACCACCAAAGCACCAATAATCCTTCCCCATGTATCACTGGCTCCCTTACCCCTCCTGTCTTCCATCCCACAAGCTCCCTCTTTAGTAAACAGCTATCTTGAAATCTCTATTCCTGAAATCTCTGCCTTAACTTCCTCTCAAATATTACCTCAAAGAGTGCCAAGTTTTTATCAAAATATTCATCTCCTTCTTCATAATTAGAATTATTGAGATAAGCATTCCGAGCTTTCTTATGGCCATCATCTGGAAAAAAAAAAAACCAAGTTAGTTTCTCATTGTATGGAAGATACAAATAACTATATGTTGCCTCTGTATTAACAGAACCTACTTTGATACTCAGATTGTAATCTGAGAATAGCTGAACTTAATCAGCACTTTTTGAAGAACGTGGCCCTGTTTCCAAAAGAAACAAACCAAACCTCTAAGAAGTACATATGAGTCATTCACTTATTAACAATGAAAGACTTCTGCAAACATGACTCTTTCAGGATTCTGGCCTACAGAGACCCTACTCTGAAAATAACCCACACAGAATCTAAAAAAAATTATCAAGTACTATTCAACAATCTACACTACAATACTGTGCTGGAAAAGCCCACTCTACATACTGTTGCTGATAACGGCAGTAAAAGTTCTCTGCTTCTGAGACCGTCCAACCTTTTACAAATAATACCAAGCCATTTAACAAAGTATTACTTTTGTACAAACTTTTGGCCATACTTTATGTTAAAATAGTCACCCAACAAGAATTGAAGAAAATGAAGAAAAAAGAAAAGGGGTTACCTGGTGGCATAGTGGTTAAACCTCAGCACTATCACCACTAAGGCCTGAGCTCAAGCCCCACCAGGAAGTTAATCCACATGGCCCAGCAGACTTCTCCTGTCATTCCCACTGCTCCTTTTAGCAGTGTATTTCAGTGGGTTCACCGGCTCTGCTCCCTACTATGTCTCTGGTGAGTCCTCTCATCGCCCCAGCCCCCCACACTTTGGCCTACACCCCAGTTCTTCCACTAAATATTTAAAAAGAACAAGAAAACTGAAAAAAAAAAAAAAGGACTGGGTTCCTAAGGCAGTACTATCTATATTGCTTGAGCACTTCCTCAACTTTTGCTCTTTATTATGTAAGTTATATAACTGCAATCATCTGGTAGAAATAAAAGAGACAATTAAAAAAAAAAGTAGGTAGTTGTCATTAAGAACTGAGATTTTAAATACTAAGGAAACAGACATCAATCTAAAACTTTTAAGTTTTATAATCTTAAATAGATGGGCTGGGAAGTAGCCAACAAGTTAGTAAAATAAGTGAGTAATACCAAAGGACACAAAACCAACCTGAAGGCATTCCCACTGGCTAAAAATGGGATCAATGAGCACTAAAAATAAATAATGCAGTGGAATGAAATGCAAATATGTGAAATGCCCAAAATGGTATCTTGAAAATTAGTCATCTTTGCAGAGTTGCTAAGGAAACAACATATGTAACTCTGAAAAATAATAAATGGAAAGAATCAAGCAGTTATCTTGTCTTTCTTATAACAACTGTATTTTGGGATAACTAAATGTTAAAGAAAATTTGTTAGAGAAACATTCTAGCTAATAAATGCAGGTAGAATGATATAATTAGAAAACATCACCAATTTTTAACCTTTAATGAGATAATGGATAACAAACGGATCATCAAATGGATCATCAAATGGCTGAAACTATTTTAGGTCAAAGGATTTTATAATAAAGTGGAATCTGAGGCAGAATTTTATAATGGATGATCAGGGTAATTTGGAACTCACTGGTCAACTTGAATATCACTAAAAGCAGGACAACACAATCTTCTAATATCATATAATGAAACCTACACTGTGAAACCTATGATGTATTCTTAGAATTCTGACTAACATGAAATATAAAAAGACATTTTTGAAATAACGGAGACCTTTTAATATGAGCTGATTTTTTTTTTTTAAGATTTATTTATTTATTTGTGCATACAGGCCTGAGGCTCAGGGGCGGTGAGAGGCTTCACCAGAGACAGAGTGGGGAGCAGAACAGGCAGATCGACGAAGTACACTGCTGAGGGGAGCAGCAGGCGGGTCAAGAGAGCTCTGGCCGCTATGTGGTCTCCTCCGGGGCAGGCGGGAATCGAACTCATGCGGAAGTGGCTTCAGATTCTCAGTGCTGCGCTTTAACCCGCTGCGCCACCAGGGAGGGCCCTATGAGCTGATTTTTTAAAAAAGGGTTACTAGGTAAAATTATATGACATCTAAAATCTTCTTTAAAATAGTCCAGGAAAAAAGTAGGTAGTTTTGAAAACAGATCTGAAACACTGTTGAGGTTTGGTGATGGGTTCATAGAGGCTTATTATATTATTATACCTGCTTTCCTGTGCCTTTGGAAATTTCCATAATTAAAACTTATAAGGAAAATGTATTTCTTTTCCTCTAATGTTTCCAGAAATTTTTGAAGAGAATGATACAATTTAAAATTATCACTGCTTTTGAATAATTCATTTATTTAATTAATTCATTTATTAAGTTCTTATGATGTACCGGGCATGTCTGGGGAAAAAGCATTGAAAAGGCAATTATAGACCCTTCTTTATTGTGTATATATTGAAGTCAAAGAAAACTAAAAAGAAGACATTTTAGGGCCCTCCCTGGTGGTGCAGTAGATTAAAGCACAGCACTAAGAAGTTAAAGCCACTTCAGCATGAGTTCCATCTCCCCCTGCCCCGGAGGTGACCACATGGCACAGCAGACCTCCCCTGACCTGCCTGCTGGCCACTCAGCAGTGTAATTTGTCGATCTGCCTGTTCTGCTCCTGCTCTGTCTCTGGTGAACCCTCTCACTGTACCCCAGTTCTGTATGCATAAATAAATCTTGTTTTTTAAGACATTTTAATGTCTAATGTCTACTAATGTGAAGTCACTAAACATAATTTTGGGAAGAAATGCATACACTTAACTCTAATGAGCTGGTTGTAGGCACACCCTTGGTAAATAGGGTGTCAGGAAAAGTCAGTATCTAGGCAGAGGGAATAGCAATTTTAAAAGATGCTAAAGCAGAAAACATCTCGATGCATTCATAAAACAGAATGAATAACATGGCTTAAGTGGAAGGAGATGACAGAGTAGTTAAAAAGATAGGGAGAAATCAAGACCTGGCATTAACAGATGGAGATAGTTGTATATCCATTTATTGAAAAGGTCCACCTTCCCCAACACTGGCCTAATCTAAGTAATAACACAGTGGTGTTGGGGCTAGGAAGATAGTGATGTGACAATGTGCTAGTGTTATTCCCATGACTGTGGGACAGGGATAAAATGGAATCCTTTTTTTCTTTTATTACTAAGAAATAATTTAAAAATAAACAAAAAGTAGTAAAGATAAAATAATTTAGAATGACCTATGGTTTGAATATATCAATACCTATTACGATAATGCAAATACACAAAATGTAAGGATTCAAAGATTATATTAAACAATGAAATCAAGGCAAACACTGTTTAAAGAGACAGAATGTAAGAACACCCAAGTCTAAAAGTAATTAGATATATTTAGCAAATACTAAACAAGAAAAGGTAATGTTATTTAATATCAGATAAATTAATTTTTAAAGATTTATTTACACATACAAGAATTGGGGTAAAAGCCAGAAGTGTGTGTGGGGATGGTGGGGGGTGCACCATGTAGGTCACCTCCCTGGCTGGGGAATCAAACTCATAAATTTATTTTTAAGAGAAAACCTTTTACCAAGGAAAAAAGATAACCACATAAAACATTTAATTAACCAAGAAACTATAACAATTTTAAACATATGTTTAGGGCCACCATTGTGGTGTAGGGGTTAAAGTCTCAGCCTTATCAAGCTAGCACCATCCACTGCTGTATGAGTTCAATCCTTGGCCAGGGAGCTGACCCACATGGCACAGCAGACCTCTTCTGTCTCAGCTACTGCTTCCGTCAGCCGTGTATTGCAGATTTGACTGTTCTACTCCCCACTCTGTCTCTGAATGAATCCTCTCACCCCCTCACCTCAGTTCTTGTATGCATAAATAATTAAAGTATTTTAAAAAATAAACATACATCTGTTTATCTCTGCACAACAGATAATTTAGGTGGGTATGTCTTAGTTAAGTTCCCCATTTCAGTTCTCCTATGAGATTTGAATCAAGCAATTGCCAATGCTATGGTCTCATTTCAAGGCCTGAGACTATCCACTTTCAAGCACTTGTATATATTGCTGGCTTCTAGCAGCTCCTTCCTGCTATTAGTCTCTTACCTTTCCACAAGACATCTTAAGCATGGCAGCTAGATTCCCCCAAAATAAGTCACTAAAGAGAGGCAGAGAGGAGAGCAGGGTAGATCTCACAGTCTTTTTGTAATCTCATTATGAATGTGAAATAGCTTCTGCCACATTCTGTTAATTAAAACCATTAAGTCCAACTTGACTCAAAGGGGAAAAGACTACTCAAAGTCATGAATGCCAGGTAGAAAGGATCACTGGTACTAATCTAAGCGGCTACTTATCATAACCATCCATCCATCCATTTCTCAAATGGACAGAATTACAGTGAGAAATGGAAAATCTACCATCATATTGGGAAGCTTTAAAAAATATGCTTCTTTCAATAATTGATAGATGAAGTAAGTAAGGAATACTACAGTGAGTAACCTAGAATATATAAAAATCTGCACCCAAAATCAGGAAATATACACTTCAATTAAATATATATAGAAAACGTAAAAGTTACCATGTAACTTAGAGAGTGAACAAATTTCAAGCAGGTAGAATATAAGCTTTGATCCTTAAGTTAGAATTTAAATATATATATTTCAAAAATCTTTGCAAATTTAGAAACTAAAAAAAAGCCCCCGCTACATAACTCAAGGATCAAAGATTAAAAGACAAAAATTGAATAACAGTGAAAGTACAACCTATTAAAATTTGTAGTAGTAGAATTTCAAAGGAACGTTACTGCCTAAAAATCTACATTAGCAAAGTAAAAATAAAAATTATCTGAGCTAAATATCTATTTTAGGAAAGTAGAAAAAAGGCATAAGCCTAAGAGTTTAAAAAAAAAAAAGATAACTACTATCAGTTAGTAAAATGACCGTTTTTTCTGTCTTTCAACTTTCTCTTTCCCCGAGAACTTATGCTTTAGGTAGATCTCTTGTAAATATCAAATAGCCACATTAAAAAAAAAAATTTGACAGTCTACCTTTAAAATTGTCAAGTTTGGGCCCTCCC